TGACACTCCACACTTCCATACCAGAAGTAATCGTCCAATGTCACCATCTGACATAGCCCGATTGGCCTCCACAATTGTTGCGAAGTCTCAAATCCTAAGTAAAAGACGTTCTTGGTTACCATCCAGTTCTTCGCGTGCTTTGCGGAGGGCTCGGCCAGAAAAGTAGGTGACAAAGACGTTGTCGACCGCATTCTGAAATTCCTCAATGGAGAGATTGATAGGATTTTCAACGGTCTCTGTAGGAAGTCCCAGTATTTCACTAACAATTGATAGATTTGTTGGGCCAAACAAAAATGATCAGAAATCGAATACATATTTCAAAATTGTATTGACCAGACTGGTACATACAAGATACAGTAAGTGATTGTAGCCTCGTGTATTTGTTCAATCAATCGTATCATTGATGTGAAATCTTTTTTTGCTGTAGGTCTATCCTTCTTTGCACCGAGTTCAACTGCTGTCCTCCAAGCTCCCAAATCGGTCTTATCATCTGGATTCCCCCAGTGATGTAATAAAAGCGCTTGAGAAATGTTCCATAGTGTATGACCAGCACCTGGAATCATGACCAGATGCGCAAGACTCTCGTCGGAAAAAGCCAAAGGTTTCCGTTGTCTCTGCAAGCCATGGAAGTTCAGACAAGTTCCCAAATCGCCTTCAATGATCTGAGGGTGTTCTGAGAAATCCTCGGGTGAAAGGCCAGTCTGTTTAATTAGGTCATCGTATAATGAGGCTATTCCATCTGAGCCATTGTCGGAAGAGTCCATCAACTTGAGCATATCGATATCGGGCTTTTCTGGCTTGATTTGGTCAATAACAGCAAGATTCAAGATTTTCATGTCCTTGTACTTCTTGGGCTTGATCATATATCGCAGAAGCACCACAGCCACTTGGTTTTTCAAAGTGGCTACCCAACACTCTTGCTCACCTTTACTACGAAGTAATTCACCCGAATCAACTGGTCGTTCACAGTCATCCTTGAGAATTTTCTGAAGCACAGGAAGAGTACAGAGGCTTGGATCAAGCCCGGTCAGGAGCTCGGGGTTCACAAAGTGAACGTAACCCCAAGTACCATGATATGTCTTGCTAGTAGCATCAATTCTACGACTATGAACACGTTCCATCATGTCAAGATTATCAATACACAGAAAAACCCAAAAAGCCCCAGCAGCTTTAATTTTTTTCTTGATCGTGACCAATTTTGCCTTTGCTAGTGTTAAAAGTCCACGAAGCGCTGATTTTCAACATGCACTAAGGCCTATCTGATGTAGATATTGATTGACTTGCTCAGAGACCCCGCACGCTAGTAGCGCAAGTGAATTTTCAACTTGAAGTGCGTTACAACGCCGATTACAACCATAAGCAATCATTTGAATCGCTGTCAGCGCAATCTATGATCAAATGACTCGACTTGAAGCATCAGTCAAATGTTAATTACAGGGTGTGTTTTGAAATGAAGACCCTCACCGTCTTGAATCGGTTCTTGATATTTTCAACTCTGTCCTTTGATTTATGATAAACATAATCTCCTACTGTTTGCTGTCTACTCGCAATGGCATGAGATTCATGAGCACCACTATTGCAAGACGTGTCAAAATCACTATCTACATCCGATTCTGAGTCCGATTCAGGGTTTGAGCCTTCATAAATCACGGTTTGGCGTCCGGATTGGTTACGGCTTGCTCTGGAAGAGTTATATTCATGTTCCAACTTGTGCGTGATTAAGCTGTGCAGGAAGCCCATGCCTGCAACCACTGCTGTCTCTCGTTTTATATCTGAATCGTGATCAAAGAGACCAGTGTCGATCTTGTTTGTGTTGATAAACAGACTTTGTGGTGGCGTAGACTGTGATGCTACAATGACTTTGGCCTGAAATCAAGTATGTATCTGATCAGTGATTCATATAGCCGCTCATAGCAAGGTGCGCTTGATTCACACCTTTTTAAGAACCCAGTCATTCCACTTTTGTCGGCATTCTGGCTTTTGATTAACCAGCTCGTCAACTGCGTCTAGAACTTCCTCAGTAGTCTGCCACCCTCTTTTCACAGATCCCCACTGTTTTTTACGTCGGACAATGCTTTCATTGGTAGATCGCAGGTATGCAATAAGGAATTTTTTTGTGTTGGTCTGGTGCTTTGTCATAAATTGACAGATCATTTCAATTGGATCGATTGTATCTACTGACTTCGGTATTTCCGGAACATTAAGCAAAGGATCCAAGACAAAATCATCCTCTGATTCATCAGAACTGCCCATTGTGTTTGGTTCTTTATGGCGATAGATGAATCTCACAAGAGGGAATTCAATGAAGAAATAAAGCAAATACGATGAGCAGAACGATAATCGGCTGAGGAGCTCCTGCTCCAATCACCGCATGGGTTCGCACAGAGAAAGTCTTTAATAGATTTATCCTTTAAGTCATTCATATGTAAAATTTACTGTAGTCGCAGCAGATGTGAGGTTTGAAATTTCAATTTACAAAATAAGAAGTCCTTTTGAATCTCAAGTTCAGGAGCAGCTCAGAAGTATCTGAGTAGGGCAAAAGATTTGTAGGAAGCTGATCTTTCATTTCGTCTTTTTTCTTCAAAGATTTGTAATGTGTAAGGTGGTGGAAAGGGAGAACGGAGATATTCCCTGCCAACTTCAAATCTAATCACGCGGGTATTTGCGTATAAGCCGCAAGCCCCCCTGCGCAGGCTCCGGGGGACGCAGGCAGTGGGGGGCTTGTGTTAAGCTAGGACCTAAGCCCAGACTAAAGCTAGCCACAAAACAGACCTATTGGCAAATTTCCTTCCAAAACTCTCATCTTTCTCAACTATTTTCAATCTTTCATTATGACCTCTCAAATTTCTTACAATTTCCTTTTCCTCTTTCCAATCCAAACTTGAAATCATCAATTCAATTCAATTCTTCTTCTTCATTAATTACAAATCTCTAATCTCTCTCATACATATCATACAAGTTCAACCATTATCCAGAGCTAAGATCTTCCACAATGATCTTTCAAAACGCAAACTTCAAACCCAACTTAAAAATCATATTAAAAATAGGATATACATATCACTTCTTCTTGCTTTTTAAAAAAAAACCTCAAATCTACAAGAAATGATTCAAAAATAAACATATCCATATATATATATATATATATCAACTTTCTATCAAACCAACTTCAAATCATCTACATGCAATTTTACAAAACACTCAATCATAAAACAATCTAACCAATCTATTAATCTATCTCTATGTATAAAAAATCAATCAAAATCACATCACTAAATCCAATCAAACTTTATTTCGGTTCTACAAGCTCAAGTCCACTAGCAATCTGTTTCTGAACTTCCAAAGCCAATGCATGTCCCTCTTTCTAAAAAACCCCAATCGATCAATCAAAACCCGGCTCAAGTATGTATCAATACCCAAACCTCTTTGAATCACTCTAAAGAAGAAGAAGAAGAAAAAAACTTTTCTACTTACAGTCTCAATCCTACCAGCAATAGCCGTAGGAGGTGGAACTTCCTTGACTTTCAATCCTTCAACTAATCCTTCAAGTTCGATTTCCTTTTGATCATCAATCTCTCTTTTCTTCTTCATCTCATATATCTTTTCAATCATCTTACTCTTTCGTTTAGGTTTAGGTTCTTGTTTTTTTCCTTCTAAAAACCTTTCAATCACTTCTTTCGGTATATATCCTTTTAATCTTTCTGTATTCTTTAAACATTTCATTTCTGATTCGGATTCTAATGATCTACTATTTCCTTCTACATCTATTCTTTCTCTTACCATATTCGATTCGAATTCAGGTCTCTGTTGAGAATAGTAAAATAAAGACGCCAAATTAAGATCATTCTAAACAAAACCTATGAGAATGACTTCAATTGATTTCGGTAAGTTCTGGACTTACTTTGAAAGGTTTATCACCAAGATATGATCCCGTAAACAAACTATCAGGATCACTTGCTTGCCCATTTCGTATCTTATCATTCGCGAAATCCTCATTGACAGATACTTTGGTATCCTTCTCTTTTTGCAAATCGATCACAAACCGACAAAAACTTCCCATAGACCGATAACAGTATTTAGCCGGTTGAGTCCAACCCATCTTTCGAAACCCCCAAAAAATGTCAACTCAATCCATGACGGTGATTGTGCACACCTTTCAAGTTATTGAGATATAGTTGAAACCTTACCACTGAAAACATATGACATGTTGAGTCTGTATAAGATTACAACAATCATCAGTAAAAACGTCTCAAAGATGATCAATAAATTTGATTTTTGGCACACTGACCATAAACTTGTAAATGAACCAAGGTCGGGTTCCAATTTAGATTAACCTCATGACCATCAATCTCATTCCGTTCTTTCAACCTACTTGACAATCGATACTGCTCTGGTTTTGCAGCTCTATGAGCCATGTAGATCACTTCATCTCTCAAACATTCCTAAAAACTCAACATCCCAACTAGAATCAGATTACGAGTCTTTGAAAAACAATATTAGAGGTGGAACTCAACATGATCACTTGCAATCTAGATTCATCCTAAATATCAGCCTTTATCATCGTACGCTAATATAGATAGAGAAAGCTTACTTACAATCAACAATGGACATAGACCTCCTAAGCTAGTTTGGTACATCGGACTGACCAGCGGATTATTGAGCTGTTGAAAATAATCCGATAAACGTCAATGATTGATTGAAAACAGGCTATTTTCACAACACTCATTTTAATACGTGCCTGTAAGTTGGTTGCGTATAGTTGAACCTGATGTTCCGTTGCATCACACACACTAGCGTTTCTGTCAATGTAATCCTTATCATCGGGTGAGCTATTGCCATTGGACAAATCATTGTGAATATTTGATCCTCCGTTCGATACTGGGGCTTCACTCGTTCCTGAGTCTGAAGCTTCCCACCGCAAGTGAGAATAACGACATATAGGAGATGTGAAAAATCGACAGCTAAGTGAGATGGGCGAGTGTTAGTCTAGCGCACAAATTAACACTCACCCAGGTCTCCGTTTGCAGTCAATGGTTGGGTAGACAATGTCTTTGACGGTTGCGGTAAAGGTGGCCATGCCTCACTAGGTTGATAAAGAAACCCATTAGGTGCTACCAAAAAAAATCTAGTTTAAAAATCAAATCTTTCGAAAAAAACAAAAACAAATGAGAAATCCAAAACTCACGTAAGATATCTTTATCACCATTTTCCATTACACTTTCAAAACTATGAGTCAAATCTACCCAAGGAGAAATCAAAACCCCACCTGAAGGTAACTCTTTACCCAAGTTACGTAACACACAAAGCAAACTAAGTGATAAATTCCCACCAGCCGAATCACCTGAAATAATAATCTGTTTAGGTGAAATCGGTTTATGTAAATATCCTTCTGATAGATTAGGTTCGGTTAGGTATAGATAAGCTGATAAACAATCCATCAAGGCACATGGAAATGGATATTGTGGTGCAAGTCTATAGGCTACTGTGAAAGCTCTTGCTTTGGCTTTTCTTGCCATTCTCCAGATTTGATAACGATGTGTATCAAGTGAACCAAAGAAAAATCCACCTATGAAATTAAGTTTCAAAGGTCAGCTTCAACTCGAGTGAATTCTACTGATTTCCAATAATCATTCTTGATCATCACCACATACCACCATGTATAAAGAACAAAGTAGGCACATCAGCTTCTTCTTCTTCAACTTGTCCGTTCGGAAACCCTTTCCAAACCGATTTAGGAGCGATCCATTCAGCATGAATCCCATGATCGTTCTTAGTCCATTGCCACCAAGTTGAACCTCCAACACTTTTAACTAAACCTGGATCAGATTGAATTAAAAGATCTGCAGCCTTAAGGCAAAACTTGGAAGGAATCGTGACTGTTGATTCAAGTTTCAAATCAGAGAACTCATGAGACTTTGTTGGTTTGAATAGTGTGATAGTTTATGGATTTGATTTTTCATCACTTACCTTTGATTCGTTTAATCCAAGGTGGTGATGGTACAGAATGAGTGACAAAATCTTGTAGTCTTTAAGTAAACAAGAATCATGAAAGATTAATTCGATTCAATCAGACCATTCGATCGTAAGATGTTATGATGAAACTCAACTCTTCTACCGTATGATGAGTAGACTGTTCGATAAAATTCTGCAAGATTTCATTCCATATTCACAATCATCATCAAATCCAATCCAAAAAACAGCACAGAATCAAAAATCACACATATATATATATTATAGGGACTTTACTTTGATGAGAGCAAACCCAATATCGTATTTAAAATCATGACGTGCTTGACTAAACGATCAATCAATACAATCTCAATTATTTCCGATAGATATCATAAAAGAAACGAACCCTTTAGCATAAGGATCATCTAAGGTATCTTCTTGAGTATCTTCGTTACTTGAACTCTCATCTTTTGGATTAGGTTGTTGATGATGAGTCGAAACTCTATTACTGACTGTCTTGACTATTGTCTTCACACTTGAACCTACTACTGTTGGAAATGAAAGTGATGGCATCCTTGACTACAAAGAAAGTTATTTAAAGAAATCGATTTGAGTTATTTTTGGTTCGAGTGACGTCATAGATATTGTGACCACCACTTTTGTAGCCCCGAATGTGCGGTCCTGAAAAAAACCCGCCCGAGTAAAGTTTTCTTGATGACCACCATCAATCGACGAAGAAACACTGCATCACCATCACCATCACCATCATCACCATCACAAAATGACCATCACCAATGACTTAGATTCGAATCTTGCTTTACTATCTCGAATCAACTCAAATGGAAAAACCCAATCCGAAACACTCAATCTCTTACTAACCTCAACCAGTCATACATCTTTCATTAAAGGTTCTCCTTCAATAAGATTACTAGAATTTATTAAAAAAGATATCATAACTCATCAATTACACTTAAAAGATAATCCAGTACCAACTGATTATCTCAATCGAATCGAAATTGCTGTGGAATTCTTTGAAATCAATTTAGATTATTTTCCACATCAACTCGAAGACCTTAAATCGTTTGATAGTTTATCAAGTTTGATGACTTTTCTTGTAACCATTCTTTTACCGATCAAATCTATCGAATTACGTTTAATGGTTTTAAATTCTAAAATCTTTAAAACATTCACTCAGTTTGTTCTTTTTTTCTTATCACACTTTTGATAAAAAATCACTTACTAAATCTTCTTTCTTTTTTCTTCTTCTTCTGTACTTTGTTATATCATGTAGATCAATGCAATTTCTTTTAAGATTACAAATCATTTCCTCTTATATTTCGATCGAACAACTTTCCAATGCCAAAAGTTTTTTCAACCAAACTAAATCAAAGTACAAGAAATTATCAAATCTTTCTGAATTTAAATCACTTCAAGAAACACTTTTGAAAGTTAAACAAGAGAATTCTGATTTAGAAATGTCTTTTGAGAATCATGGTACTTCAGTTATTGATGATAGATTGGTAAATCAAGATTCGGATGTGAAACTCGAAGAAGATTTATTGGATATTAAACCTGATTTAGATCTGATTCAATCAAAGCAGAAAGATGGTCTTCCAGATGATGATGAACCATTACTCAACACGACCTCCAACAGGTCTACAAACCAAGATCCAATTGAAATCATAGATGAAGAGACAAATGACACCAACCCTGATATAAACCGTTCTCAACCTCCTAGACGATCCTCTAGAAAGCGACAAGTAACTTCAGATGATGATCAACCACTCATCAACCGTACATCCACCAATTCTTCTAATCGTCATGAAGTTATAGAAGATCTAAGTGATTCAAAACCTATCAAAAAGCAAACTAAACGTTCTAAGAAATCATCAAAGAAACCAAAAGATTCTTCAGATGATGAAGATGATCAATTGTTACTCAATGGAACCTCCAATATGAATCCAGATCGACCCAAACTTGATGATCTGCTTAGTCGAATGTCTGAACTTATAGAAGAACTACAAAAATCAAAAGGTGTTTGTAAGTTTGATCCGAGTTGTTTTGTTTTGGACCCTAAGAATGTCATCAAAATAAGTCCACTGAACTGATGATGTTTTTTTTCTTTTGTGTAGCTAAACAAGAGTGTAAGAAAACGTTTGAAAAACTTGATGATCAACGTATGAAGATCAGATCAGTTAAATATATAAATCGTCAAGTTCCCAAAAGTGATCAACACATGAGAACCTATCAAACCTATCAAACCTGGTGTTCGAACCATCAATTCTCAGAACTTCCAATCACCTTCACGAAAGCATTCTTATGGACGGAATTATATTTAAGATCATATTCAGTTCATCATCTTAAGATGATGCGTAGGATTCGAGAATTAAATTGGTTTAGAAGTCAAACTATCTCCCATGGGTCTGATGAAGATTCATTTTGGCCTGATTTCTTTTGGAATGAATATTTTCAAGATCATCGGTTTCCGATTGTTTTCATTACCAAAGGTGGTGATCCTCGTCGAGTGGCTTATCCTAGGAAAAATATCAATCAAATGAATAAATTTCCAGCACCTATGCCACCTCAAAGGAAAAGAGAAACGGATTTATCACCTACTATAGCTTCTGGTAGTTCAAGTGGTCAAAAAACTTTGAAAGGTGGACATCCAATTTGTTAGGTTTGAACTTCTTTCTCATGAATTGGTAAGATTGAATCATGAATCTTTCTTCTTGATCAATCTATTTAAAACTTACAATTGATCTTGATCTTGAAATGCGTCATCAAGAGATGGAACTAAAACCTATTCATGAAATTCATTTCGATTCACTTAGGAAAGCCCAACATATTTGTCAAAATTGGTTAACGATTCTTGATTAACTTTGACGAGAGTCTGATGGTAAGTTCATCATATTCATCTACAAGTCAAAAAAACACACATCAACCTGATGAATTGATTCACTTTGTTCTTCATTTCTTTTCATATGTAGGAAATAGGAATGACGATTAAACCTGAATTGTTGATTCTATGAATGTGTTTGTTTGTAAATGTAAGATGATAAATTCACTGTATTAGAGAGATTATGAAATGGAGGTAAAGAAGAAAGTCAAAGAACCTTTTGAAAAGATCTTGAGAATCTTGTGAAAGGGATCAGATTAATTGTCACAAACCAGGATAATGCTTCATAATGAGATCTCTTATAAGTACAATCCAATCAAACTTTCTGTGTTGGTTGTCTTATCTTTATAGTCTTTGATGAAATATATGATTAACTTGATCTTGAATTGGTTTAACGAGGAAAACTTATTTCCTAATTACCAGAAAAGCAAGATGATTTCAAAAAAACATTCATAATCTTTGATCAAGATTTCTAGGTGAGCATATGTAGATGGGTTATATGTGTTTTGAAATCAAGTTGTTCATCAATTGAACTAAAGTGTAATCCAAAAGAAGTCAATTATCCCCCCAATTCCCTGCAAGCAACTTTAGCTTGATAATGATAATATTACAGACTTTCAGTTTGATAGAATACGTGTCACTACATATGTAGGAGCAAAACTTGATGTAAAATGCTCAAGTGAGAGAAGAGATTATATAGAATTGAAAGATTTCAAATGATTTACATACAGTCAGGCTAGATTAGCTTGGCCGGTCGAGAATTTTTATTTTTATTTTTACACGTATACATGCCAATACAGGCTGATTTATAAGCATACATAGCCTTATACCAAAACCAGGCTGTTGACCGGTTTTGATGTTCCATACCCTCGACACCACTTCAATACCCTCGACACCACTTCCATATCCTCAACTTGACCGAACATCAATCAATCAGTCTGATCAACCAGACCCCACTTTTTTCAACTCAATCCCTTCAAATCTTTACCCAGGATGCCAAAAGCACCTACAAAGCGCAATCAGATCCGTCTCGCCGAGGAAGCCAGAATCGCGTAAGTTTCAGATCCTTCATCTTCAATACACTTTACTGATGTTTGTTTGTTTACATAGTGCTGAGAATCAAGCGAGACAGGCGCCACCCGAAGGACTTAGCCCTAATCGTGGCAGGGGCGGCACCCCATCTCTCGTCCCAAAGTGAGTCTTTTGATTTTGATCCAATTCAAATCACAGCAACTGATGACCGATGAACAACGACTTCCTTTTTCAAGACCTGGTCATCACTTCGAAGAAGTGAACTTTAATGGACCACGCTACTACCGCAATTCGGAATTGATTCATCTCGACTTGAGTCAACCTCCAGGATTTCAGGAGTTCCCATGCAAACACAATCCCAATATTGTTTATGGTAAGTTCTTTGTTCTATCAAACCCTTCTTTCAAGTATCAAACTGACTCCTAATTGACTGTAGACCCAGAAATCGAGGTCATCCACTCAAACTTACCAACAAAAGTCCCAATGACTTTTCCACCACCCACTTCGGATTCGGGATCAAGCCTTCCACCCACTGAGGAACGTCTTGCCATTGATTTGAGTCTTATGGATCCAATGCTTGGAACTCTTGGAAATCAAACGACTCCTAAAGGTATTTTTTCGTTTCTTTCTTTCTTTTCTCTCACAACTCCAAAATTGACTTTGTTTCAAACGTTAACATCATCCTTGCTTCGGGCAGCTTCTGAAGCTGTGAAGGCTAAGCCCAAACCAATCCGAGCCCTAGTAGATTTCCACGTATATATCCCGAAACATCTTTCCAATGCCGAAAAACGAGCTGGAGTTCAGACTTCCTACTTGGCCTATGCAACCAAGAACTCTTTAGAAGAGCTGCTTTTCATCCATGGGTTTTCCCTTGACGATTTAAAGCAGTCTCTGTACGACGCTTGCAGCGAACACAAGAAGCCATGTGGAGACCTACTCAAAGTAGCTGACGAGAACGGTCAAATGGCTTTCAAGGGGTATGTATTTCAAGGTGGAAAGTTTGGTAAAACAGCATTTCCGGTGATTCCAGATGAAGACACGTTTGATGAATTCAAGGCTATGCTCCTCAAAAAAGAAGGCAAGGAGGTAGGATTTAATCTTTCGATGGCAAATCCAAAAAATACAACCAAAACACAATCGAGAGTGAGCATTTCATTTCATTCATCTTCTCTCCATGATCTCAATTTGATGTTGATATTGATTTGATCATGAATAGGACGCGGAGTTTGACCAATCATTGGCCCACAGCCATCCTGAAGCATTGAATGCTGCTCAACACGGTGTAGTAGAGATGTCGGTGAGTCTTCAACAATCCGTTTTTTCTTTCATATTTCTCTACTTGGCTTTCTCTGATGGTTGGTTACTCGTTTCTTCATTTGAGTAGGCCATTGGAGTTTCAGCCGCTATTCAGGAAGAACATACGCAGCTTATGATCAAGTACGGTCATACCAACATTGGTGGCAGGGAGCGCATGGGTATCATCAAATCGGACGATGATACCAAGGCAATTTACTTGTCCCATTCTTTGTGTGAGACGTGGGCAAGCGATATTGTAAGTTTTTTCTATCTTTACATGTTGATTTCACAAAAGCATATTGCTCAACTTGTTTGGATTATCTTGACTCAGGTTCATAACCGTTTCGGAGCTACACCAATAATCCCACCTCGACGTATCGAGTTCAAATGGGTTGAAATCGAACCTGTGAATCCAAAGCCTCGAAAGAATTCAGCACCATCTCGTTCTAATACTACGCCCTCAACATCACAAAACTCCATGGTCTCACTCGGCAACGGGTTGTTCTCATTCAACAACAACAACAACCACAACCCAGTACCTCGAAGCGAATCAAATTCTCCGGCACCAATACCACCCAAAGGCTTTGAAGATTACCTCAAGTTTTGCACAATTAGTCCAGATGATCAAACCACTCGAGGCCTACTTACGAAGTACGAAATCAGTGACTTCGAAATGTTTGAATCCACCGAGCTCACTGTTGCGAAAATGGAGGTGTTGGGTTTTCCGTTTGGTACTCGTATCCGCCTCCATGATAAAGTGCCGCTTATCGAAAGGATATCAAGAGAAGAGCTAGAGCAGCTAGAGCATATCAATAGCCTCATCTCTTGGATCATCAAAAGCATGTATTGACTACCGCTGTAAACCAGTGTTACCATGATGTAGCTACAGTATTATACTCAAGAATATTCTTAGTAATAAACATCTGTTTGTAGTTTGAGATGTGTTGTGTTTGATGTTTGAGACTGTTTGTAATGAAAATTTTATTCAGTGAATCCCTTGATGCTTTCCAGACAAGTCCCAACTCTGAAGTGAGATTTCTTTGTAGCAAGATTTTATTGTTACTTTCCACTCAAAGCAAGAAAAAAAGAAACTTGTGAAATATTCTTGAAACATCAAGGAATCTCACAATACACAAGAAATTGCTATGAAAAAAAATCATTGCTTTGACTATTGTCGAGACAAAAACCATGTTGATTACAATCTTTTAACAACACTGTCTTCTCATGAAACAACTTTATAATGAAACTATTTTACAACTTCTCATTCTTCATGTGGTCTGTAACCGCAGGTTTTGTATAAGCTGATAATGAAATTTGGTGTGCATACATCAGACAAAACCATCCTAAGGCACCTCAACTTATCAACAGCCTGACCAAGAAGGCCATTTCGGCGAAGAGAATCCTTGAAAACATCAAATGTTCGCTCAATTGGGTTGAACTCGGGAGTGCATGGTGGTAGATATACTAAAATTACTCCTGCTTCCTCGCACATTTCCGCAATCACCCCACGGTGATGAATAGGCGCATTATCCATTACTAAGACCGAGTTTCGATTTGGGTATGGCTGCATGACAGGCAGCTGGAACAAACTTATTGTCAGCTCCTCGATACCAGGCAGATTCAAAAGAAATGAAAACGACAGAGAGATACAAAGGAAATAGAAATGACTTACTAAAACATGCTTCAAAAACGCTTCGAATTCGTGTCGACGATAAGCGTTGACCTTTGCATTAACTGCCAAGAGACCCGTCTCGCAGATCGCAGCTAGAACGCTGTAATGAATCCCGTGTCTCGCCCGTTTTAAAGCCTTAGGTCGTTGGCCTTTTTTGGACCAAACATGATCACGTTGCACATCTGGCAATTTTAAACCAGTCTCATCTTAGTAAACATGAAGAGCAACAATACACATCAGTATCATGTCTTCCAATAGAAAGAAAAGAAGGAGGACTGACCTAAAAACACTAAATACTTGGGTGGGATATGGGCAATATTACCAGAGTATCTTGCTTGTAAAACAGGTGACTGGTTGGGATCGACTTTTGGGGCTTTATGAACAGTGAGGAAAAGGCGTTCTTTGAGGTCGTCGGCGATGGTTTTTCGACAAGCTAGGCGATCGGTGTGGTTGTACATGGCGGCTTGAATCTCGTCGATGAAAAGGGTTGGATCGTTATCAATGAGTTCAAGCATGAACGCTCGATCCTCAACAGAATAAAGTGTTGCACGGCCTCGTTGTTCGTAGGTTGCAGGATTGCGGACAACAGCATGAGTATGGTTGAATAAAGCGTTCCATTGATGGAATGATTTGTCTGATATCGCAGTGAAGAGCTCGATGTTGATGGATTTGATGGATTGTCCAGATCGAAATTTGGTCAGCGCGATGATTTTGACTTGGGGACTGTACAAGACAAACCCCATCGCAGAAGCGAATGGACGGAGTATGCGAAAGTGATTGAGAACGATATGAGAAAGGATGTGGTGGTGGGTGAATGACTGGCAGACTGACGCGGCAGGTTAAACACCCTGCCGCGTTTGAAGGCTATGCTTATATTTTTACCTGTATACGTGTAAAAATAAAAATAAAAATTCTCGACCGGCCAAGCTAATCTAGCCTGACTGTAGGTTGATTTGGATTTGAAAGTCTTACAAGCCAATCAACAAATTCCTCAACCAAAAAAAAAACTTTCTTTTTTGTTTTCATTCACATTCATTGATTCATCAATTCATTATTTCATATATAGATATGTAAAATAGAAAAAAAAATTCATAACCACCTTTGCTCAATTTCTCATCAACAAAATAAATGAAAAACACAAAAGTAACAATAAGGGGTATCAAGTTCAAATTTTTACAGCAAAAAAACTATGAGACGGGAAAGTTTTTATGTTTTAACTGTAAAAAAAGTTTCCCGAGTTTTTATCATCGCTTGTAAACCACGAGCAAGGCTTTTTTACGTTTTCGCCTCGATCTTCTACACGGTAATGACAAAACTGCTGGTAAGAGGATGCAAGGTTGTCCTTGCATCCACTATCAAGCACACCTCTTTCCAAGAGTGAAACGGTCAAATTTAAGTCTTCAAAGCTATGTTGTAAACTTATCTGTTTACGTTTATGCGAGAACGGGATAGATAAAACTTTCCCGTTCTCGTAAATTTTGCGTAAATTTGTGCTACGACGGGAAAGTTTTTTACGGTTTTTACCGTAAAAAAGTTGAACTTGACACCCCTTAATATATAATCAAATCATAAAAGAAAAGGTATATGAAGATAAAAAATCACATCAGATCAAACAAAAAAACTCAAAATGATAAATTTCATTTTGATTCACTTATCAAACCTCACGTATATAAAAGAATTTCAAGAAAAAAACACATTCATCAAACATCCATTCAACTAATTCATCATACTACTTAACCCACAACTCTTCTCTAACAAATAACCCAAACCGAAAAAAAAAAATTAAATTCATTCTATCTGTATATATATATGTATGTATAATAAACCTCAACAAAAACAAACTTTATAAATAAATAAAGAAAAAGAAAAAAAACTATACTAGAAAGAAATAAATAAAACCCATCAATTTGAATGCAAAAAGAAACCCCATCTCTTTAATCCAATCAATCCATCAAAGAGTTCATAAAAAAACCAAGAGTACTCTTCAGTCAGTCAGTCCACCTCCCCTTCCCTAACCAAATCAATCAATCCGAACCAACTAAACAGTTTGTGATTTCAATTCATCTAAACAAGCTTCACACTGATCTCTAACGATCGCCAAATAACTCAACAACTGAGGCATTCTTTCCGAAGACAAAGCCAAGCGTTTCTTTCCCGTAGAAGTTCCGATTCCCATATTACTAGTACTAGGGGTAGGGTCTAAAAGTTGATCATCCCAACATTCTTCTTCAGATGATGATGAAGAAGAAGAAGAAGATGACGAAATCGATGGTGTAGGTGAAACTTCTTTTGATGTTGAGTCTAAGATCTCATGAGTGTTGGGTTCGATTTCAATGAAGATCGAGCTGTTGGATGAGATTGCAGAGATAGATGAAGTGGATGAGATCGTATTTTTTCGTATCATTTTATCTTCTTGAATCTTAGCTTTCAAGGTTCTCAAGAAATCCTAACACAAATCAACCAAATCAAATCAGTCAACTTCCTTCAATCCACATCATGATCTCATCTCACTTACTTTCACACCTTGTAATGCGTTCCTAGCCGATCCAGCTCCATTAATCTTCCCACTTCCATTCCTCATAATCAAACTAATCTTCCTAGATTGTTGTTGATTGACCATCGGAATAGGTGATGATTTAATCAAAGATTTAGATGTTCTAGATCCTCCACCCGAAGAATTAACCGATCCACATCCTTCAGAACAAACTCTAATACTACTATTCCCACCACCACCACCACCTCCACCACTTCTTCTCAAGATATGATGTTTTCCTCTTAAATTCTTTTCAATTCTTAAACTTTCTTGATGTCCTTCACTACTGGCTTCACTTGGACTATCTACCCATAACTTTCGATTAGTTAAATGTTCTTTTCCTTTAACTGATCCATCATTATCATCTTCTTCATCTTCAATCACAAATCCATCACTATCTGGTAAAGTTCTAGCTATAGGTGTTTCAGGTGACATCATCAAGATTGGACCAGAAGATGAAACATTCTTCAAGATCCTTTGAGATTTCACTACCGGTGTTCTTTCAAATGATCTTTCACCTCTCAATACGTTTTGTTGTTTAGGTGGGGTTTTGACGCTTTCATTCTCAATCGGTCCACCAGGTCCAAACATATTCTTTAAAATCTCAAAATGTTCATGTTCTTCTGAATCCTGTTCTCCTTCTTTGGGTGATCCTAATCTTTCTGAAGAACTGGTGGGAATTCGATCATGTGGAAATCTTTCTTTCGGATCCTTTTCACCTTCTCCTAAATCTATCAATACATTACAACACGTCCACCATTCTCGATAATTCAATTCGATCCTGGCTATGTTGGATGAGATCCTTGCAAGCGCTCGTGGACTCGGCTGAACTGATTCAGTGTCTTCTGATGACATCTTAGGTGACTCTGTAGATGGGTGTTCATTCTCGTCACTCGCTGCCATGCTCGATTCACTGGTAGCAGAAGTCAATCGGGCTCGGGTGGTCGATTCAATCAGTCTACGATAATTTCGCCTCATCAATTTCAAGTCTACAGTAATCAAACGAAAATCAGTATTGTTTTCAGTATCAGAAAAAGAGGGATGAAAACTAACCGTCAATGCCTCTAGCAAATTCTTTCATCTGATTCAATTCAGTGTGTAAACGACCTTGCTGAGATGTGATCCTTGAAGGAATCCTCAATTCCCCCATACTGTTACTTCTACCCAAGGCTGCATTGATACCTCCCATGGTACTAGGTATGATAGGTGAGATGGTACTAGTAGGTAAAATAGATTGATCAGGAATTGGCTCTGAATATGGCGCATAAGTTGAATCACCAGATTTCATGAACCGACTGGATTGTGAACGAAGTGATGGATCTGGCGAGAAATCAAAATCTGGTGACTTGGGAGAAACGAGTTGAAAGTCATCCATGCTTTGTGAAGGGGTAGAAGGATTGGCTAATTTATAATTTTCTAATGTCGCTGAAACACTAGCTGCCACCCTTTTTCTGAGAGCAGGATTACTCTTGGGTGGTTTAGATGAGCCCATAGAACGAAGTCGGGGTCCAGTACTACTACTCAAGCTACTCGCACTTCCACTCAGATTGTGATCAGTGATAGACTGAGGTGCAGCTGGCGGAGAGACAGTCAAATTAGGTTCATCAACCGAAGCTTTGTTATTGGTTGAAGTTGAAAACTTTCTGCGCAAACTAGAACCGCGTAACAAACCAGAAGGACGCGAGCTGCTCGAATCTTTCGAAGAAGGTCTAGCTTTGCGTCCAGCATCTGAATCGGCTCTAACGGTCAATTCACTCCCCTTACTGTTGGAAGCTGTGATACCGCTGACAGTGGGAGATCGATGATTTCGTTTAGAGCTAGGCGTAGATGCTGCAGAGTGAGCCTGGGATGCAGTAGTGGGTGGAGATTGAAGATGTTGTGAAGGTGTTGTGCGTGTTGCGCCGCTCATGATCGAGAAACGCTTCCGGTTAGGTGTCGCTGGAGGAGTTTTATGATGTGATTGTCTCGAAGACAGCCTTCGAACACGTGAGATAAAGCTCTCACTGGGTTCGAGTGAAGTGTTGGACTGCTTGGATGCTTTGTAATTCACCGGGTTGGAACCTATCGACGCCGCTTGACGAAAGTGACCTCGAGTAGGCCTCTCGCTGAGTATGGACTGGGAGTCTCTACCGGATGAGTGAGATTGGGTTCTGGAGGTTTCTTTCTTGGACACTTGGTCTCGCACAGTCTCACTTGACTTGCGAGCAAAGAGACCGCGACCAGGGGAAGCGGAATGTGGAATAGAATCCATGTGACGATCTCCAGCGATATTATTAGAACTCTGTGCAGAACTGATTGAAGCTATAGAGTTGCGCGAAAGAAGAGCAGTGAAAGACAGTGGTCTCCTAGACTTGAACTTCTTCGCGACAGTTCCGGGTTCAGGGGCCGTAGTAGGCTTCGAGCTGGGACCAGTGAGAAGAGGACTGGGGCCAGGACCAGAATGAGAGACACTAGAGCGAGCTCGATGATTGAAACCAGGGCCGGGAGCAACTGGAGTGGGAGAACGGAGATTGATACTGAGAACTTCTGCTGTATCAATGACTTGATATGGTGAAGTCGAACCAATTGCCACGGTGTGAGATGTACGTCGCAACTGGCCTCTACCTTCTTCATCTGAATCAGCAGCAAATGCCAAATCGCCTGATAGTTGGTTATCTGAATATATTGACTCGGATACGCTAGGTTTGCGATCCAATACCGTCGATGAATTGTTGATAGGGGTAGGACTCAAAGCGAGTGCAGAGGGGCGTTTTCGTCTAAGTTTTTTCCGCAAGTTTTTGAGCCTACTGTCATCTTCAGTGGATGGCGCAAAACTGATATCTGCGTCTGCATCACCATCATCAGCGAAGCGATCTGGTGAGAGGAGCGAGTTCATATTCAACGTAGTAGAACTCATCGAGCCTGCAAGAGAGGAGACAGATGTCGATGGATTGGCGTTTGGAGGCCTTGAATATAATGCTTGCTTTCGAGATCTTTGAGTGGCATTCGGAGTGACTCGATTGGATGAGGAGGTGGAGGCCATTGGGGATTTTCGACGATGGGCTTGAGCATAATCTGAAAGACCGTCGGTTTCAGTGCCAGAGGTAGCAGCTTCATATGAGTCTGATGAATGGTTGCCATAAGGTAATGGAAAGTTGGATGATGCAGAACTTAAAGAGGGAGTGCGTGCTTGCTGTCTCCTGAGATGAGCTTCATGATTCTGACTCAAATTGTTCGTCAAGACTTCAACACTATCACGACTGACCCTCGACGCGGAGGATTTGAGAGAGATGTCTGAATGATTTGATTTGTAATACCCAATAGAAGAGGAAGAAGAAGCAGCAGAATTGAGGCAAGTTGGATTATTGAGATTTCTAGATTTTGAAGAGTGTGTCGTGGTGAAGGTAGTCTGTGAGTCAAAACTAGAATGAGCAGATCGTCGGACCTGGTTGCGTTCATTTGACTTTTGTGATGCTGAAAGTGAAGATGACTCTAGTGGAGAAGAGACCAGGTTTGAGCGATATGAACTAGAATCGGATATGGCTCGCAAAGGCTCATCGAGGTGATTGGAATGAGCAGTGCTACCCGACCTAGTGGTTCGACTTGGATTATTCCCATTGAGCTTAGCCGTCTGTGTAGCAGGTTGAGATCGATGTAATGCTCGATCCGCAGGTTGTCTGAGATTGGCTGGTGAACAAGACGATCGATTTTCAAAATCCGTGTCATCACCCCAATCTAGTTCAGTCTCAGGCTCAGTAAATTCGGTTTCAGTGTTAAAACTCCGATTCCCTTTGCCACTGCCACCAAACCCAGCACTATAATCACCACTTGATCTACTCCAATTTCCATGACCATCATCTGTGGTTGAGAGACTAGAGGATGGACTCCGAATGTCTACCGAAGATATTTCGGATACAGAAGGTACGGAATCTTGAGAGGAAACAGCTTTATGTGAAGCCTGACGAGTTCGAAGTGAAAGAGGCGGTCGTGAGGGTCGTGAAGTACGATCTGAGACAGTACCCTTGCGGCCCATAGTCTTGGGGCTTGCTTTTGAGCCTGAATCGAGGGACGAGTTTTGAAGGTCGAGAGCAGTATGAGTCAAACTCAAACCGCGTGACGCGGTAGGAAGTGAAGCAGGTGGATGATGGGGTTGAGGTTTGGGAGTATTTTTGATAGAAGAGCGCAAGGAAGGAGAGGCGGTAGGATCGAAAGATGAATTCGAAGATGCAAAGGATGACAGAGAAGGTGGTACTGAGAGGTGAGATCGTGGAGAGTGAGGATCCTTCTTGCGGGGCGTAGAGCAATTACTGTCCTGAGGGATCAAGTTTAGAGCGGAATCATCTTCTGTTTTATGACTATTGCCAGTTCTGAGGAGAGGTCGTGAGTTGGAAGGAGCATGTTTCGGAAGTTGAGGAAGCGGTTGATTGAGTGAATGCTGAAGAGATGATGAGTGTAAATGAGTGGAAGCAGAGGTAGATTGAGCTGAACCCGGTTTCCTCGTAGGTGGATTTGGACGAGACGCATTCTTCGAAGGTAAAGGAAGAGATTCGGTTGAAACCGAACCGAAGAGGAAATCATTATCCCAGTTTTCACTTGGTTCTGATATGGTCAAACGAAAGCATCAGTGAACGGTTGAAGGTTAATAAGGTATTACTACGAGGAAGAAGACAGACGAGCTCTCGATTTTCCCTTTGCCCAATCTGATCTTTTTTTGTTCTTTTTTTGTTCAGATTCCAAGAAAGCTTCTTCATCATCTTCATCGTCTTCAGTATATTTAGTTAAATCGAGTGGATTGACCATTTTTCAAGAGATAGATGATGGTTGATGGTTGATGGTTGTTGGTTGATTAGGATTACTTGATTAAGAAATTAAAGAGATAACATTCAACTGAAACTTAGATAAAGGATAAAGTCGAGATCTTGAAGTAGAACCATTCACTTTCTTTCTCTTGACCGTTAATCAAAATCAAAATCAATCAAAAGATAAAATAGAAAAAATAAAAAAATAAAATAGAAATCAATTTTTTGAATTTTCAAACTGGAATTTGAAAATACAGTTCAGTTATTAAAATTCAATTTAACCAATTCAATCCAATTCATCAAGCACTTAAAACCATAAAACTAACTCAAGACCCATAAAATCAAATCAATACCCTCTTTCCATCTTCATCCACCTCTCCATCTTCATCGACTTTTCATTTCATTTCACTTCACTTTCATCTCCTTCAAACCTCAACATATGATCTACATTAACCACCCATGCATATTACATACTAAAAACATCATGTTTCACATCACACATATACATCACACCCTTTGCCCACTTTCAATTCAACTTCATTTATCCAATTCAATCTTCTTGGTACATCGAAACTATAGAAACTCATGAGTCATAAACAAGAAAGAATCAGAACCAATCATCAAAACTCAATCTGATCTCTTGTGACTCGTGAGGAGGGAATCACTGCTCCCTTTTGGAGATCTCAATTTACCAGCCTCAACGGAAAGTTTCGTACTATGTACCCCGTGATCTCATAGTGGGAGGTCCATTCTTATCACCCGAACTAGAAGTGATCTAACATGATCAAACTCGTTTAAACCAATCCTAATCCTAAAAAGTACAAATTTAACTCATTAAGATTCTTTCTTGTTATAAGCACATGAGCTTTAAGAGCTATTCAGAAATCGAAAGAGAAAGATGAAACAGATTGATATCATACAAAAGATATGTAAGGATTATGTTGTACATATTTACTTGATTGAGCAACTAATTAAGTCCACAAGAATGAAGATTTGATTAGGATGATGACTAGTCTTTCCCTGGACTTACAGCCTGTACCGGTTTGGGATCTACCTATCAAATTTAACCAAGCCTGAGGGTGTAGAGAATAAACGTGTTGGTTCATTCATAAAAAGCCCTTGTGGAATCATAATAAATCGTATTCCAAGTTGATCTTCAGGGTATATTTACATTGTCAGACAATTATAAAGTTTACATGCACCTTGAGATATAAACCCTTGCAGTTTTACCAGAAAGAAAGGTCGAGTCATGAGAAATAGAAAAAAGAAAAAGATAGCTCAATTGCATGAAGAAAAGATGACGATCATAAACAAGATCATAAAGAATAAAGGAATACAAAGAAATTTGAAATTTGAAGAAAATAAACAAAAGTATTGATTTCAAGAGAGAAGGGTGATGACTGCATAAATATCTTTCCTAATCATAAGGCATAAAAAGGAATTATGGAGATTGGATATTTTGATAAAGATTTGAATTTCGATTAGTGCAATAGGGGTAGTCAAAACTCGTGAAACTGGTCCAAAAAGTGTCCAAGTGTGACATCCAGAAACACTTTGGACACCCCAAAATGTTTCTGGATGTCACACTTGGACACTTTTTGGCATATTTGAGAGCCCCTCTACGCTGTGAAGAATCCAAAGCCTCACTTCCTCGAAATGCCACGAGTCTCAGCACGGAGACAGGTACTACAAGCCTTAAAAGGTGTTTCCCGTCACCTCCTGGCTCACCCCATCACCGATCCACATCATCTTCAATCAGCAAATCGACCCTCAAGTACCTCAAGATCACTATTGACTCTGCTCCTCCTGCCTCATTTGTTACCGGATCTTCCACTCAAATCAATTCACCGCTTGACTTTAGGTCTTATTCTAAAAGGTCAAAGGGGTCATCACATCACAGACTTAGAATTGAACAAGACTGCGGTTGAGGTATGGTTGGCAGAATTGGAATCTGTTGAAAATCAGCGATACCTGCTTTCAAGAACGCTCCGTGGACGTGATCATTCTTACGAGCTCTTCAACGGCATTATGAATGCTCCTGAAGTTATATTTATCAAAGTAGTAAGTACTTTCTCATATCTGATTCTTGGAAGTTTTTTAATTCTGCTTTGATTACATGGTTAGGCACGAATGAGAAAGGACAACTTCATCATGCTTCTTCATAAGATTGAAGATAGCAAAGTGTTTAAAAACGAATCCGGTAATCCTCAAGAACAAGTCGAATTGCAACTCTTGGTCACTCTATGCCATCTGGGGCTTTCAGGGAATGGCGGGCAAATTACACTGATAGGCCGACTATTAGGTGTTTCACGTAGGAGCTTGAATATGATCATTTGATCTATTTATTCTTATTGACTTCTCTTGTAATTCTTCCAGACGGCAGTGTCGAAAACTACACTTGGCGTTGTGTAGCCGCTATCCTTCAACTACAGCCTCAATATCTCCGCTGGCCGTCTCCACTTGAACGAGCGAAAATCAGGAATGAGATCGCTGAAAGATATCCAGCTTTGAGGGGATGTGTTGGCTTTGTTGATGGTACACTGATCCCGTTAGCTTTTGGTCCAGTTATTTGTAAGGAGGATTATTGGACTCGAAAGTTCTTTTATGCACTCAACTCCATGATCGTGTGTGATCATCGCCGACGTATCACCTTTGCCCGGCATGGTTGGTGTGGGAGTGTCCATGACCAGCGTGTACTCAGAACTTCTACTGTAAGTTTTCAAAATATTCTTTACTTTCATTTGAATTTGGGGCTGATGATGTCTGTAGATATGGTGTCACCCTGGGCAATACTTCACTGAGGGCGAGTATCTAGTGGCAGATTCAGGTTACAGCGCATCAAAGTGTACTCTTCCACTCTTCAAAAGAACTGCAGACGGCCAGCTTCCCGGACTTAAACATGCTTTCAACAAACAACTCAGTGAGGCACGAACCGTAATAGAACATGTCAATGGCATGCTTAAATCTCGATTTCAAATGTTGAAGGAGTGTAGGCTTGTTTTGCAAGACGAACGTTCACTGAAACGAATTAATGCACTCTTGATGGCTTGTTGTGTCCTTCACAACTTCCTTTTGGAGCAGGATGAACAGTCTTCTTTTTCGTATGGTCTTCCAAACGATGCCGAAAGAGAAGCCGAGCAAGTCTATTGCGAGGAAAATCCAGCGGTAGTTGATCAGGTATTGGCGGACAATAATGATTCATTACGACAAGAAGTTTTTGCTGAGTATTGTCATCTCATGGGACATGTTGTCTAGCTTCCTTAATCATGTCTCTTCTAATTATTTGTATGTGCTTGATTGAATACACAAATGAACAAATGAATCATTGATTCAAGTTATCCTTTTAACTCAAAAGAAGTCCTTACTCACATAATGTGATTGATTCTGAATCAAATCAGTATAGATCTTAAAAAATAATTAACCTTGTATCGATCTTAAAAAATAAGTCATCTTGTGCACCTGACCGTATCGAAACCAAAAAAGCAACTTTTTATTTCATCAGGCATAAACAAGCAAAAGCAACTGAACCAACAACATTTTGATAACAGCACAGAGACCAAACATCAAAAAGAAAAGTTTAAAAATTTGAACGATCGATCATTTTGATCGATCGTTCATAAAGCAAACATAAAAGAGACATATAGAGTTTTTTCGGGGATCTTTCACTTGGTATCAGATCAGAAATAAAACATAAACGAGACAGAAATCATGTATTAAAAAATTTTTATGAGTGAGCTGTGACCTTGATCATAAACTCGATAGTTTACTGTTGATTCACTAATTATTTCTGTTCCGCAAGCATGTCATCCACCGTTTGCTTAGCTTCGTTCCAACTCATTTGGAAGTTGTCCATGTATTCCTTGTATAGTCGTCCTCGCATTTGAATATCTTCGAATTTTTCTTTTTTCTTTTGACTGTTCAGTTCTCCCGCAATTTTATCTAATTCAAGTTCCTCTCTACGTCTTTTGAGTGCCTTGGTTTCATCTAAGTGTTGATCATTGAATTCAATTTCAGCCTTCTTTAAATCAAAAGTTTCCTTTCGAAGTCGTAGCTCCTGGACCAATTGATTGGTTGGATCGATTTCGGGCTTCAAAGATTTGGTGATTGCATCCGCGAGTTTGTTAGATGAGATGACTTCCGACCTTCTCGCTTCTTGCTCCGCTAACATATGTTTTTTTTTTGAAATCCCACTCAGCATCGCGTTCCTCTCGCAAAGGTAAGTGACTAGCCAAAAGTGACGAAGCTGGGCCTGAATTGATTCTTGATGATCTACTTGATACACTGTTTGTAGGATCCAATGATGTAGAGTTTGAGCTTTTCCGAGGGTGAGCTTCACGTATCTTCGATTTGATCTGAACAACCGAGCCATCCTGCTTTGTTGAGTTTGATGATTGATGTTCATCATTTAAATTTTCGTTCTTTCCTTCATCATCAACTTTGTTTTCACAATTGGGACTCTCAATTCCTTTAAGAATATTTTCAACATCTGAGCCAATTAGTTCAAGATCGTGATTGTTTGGAGTTCTAACTTGAGTTTCAGCTTGAACATCTTCAGTCTCAAAAGATGATTGCTGAGTTGATTGATTCGGTAATATGTCATCTAAATCAATTGTATCATTAGACTCCTGTACGGCACCTGGTGAATTAGCCTTTCGCCGTCCAAATGCTGGAAGCATCTCGTCGTAATAAAGGCATTTTTTCTTGAGGATTTCTTTTGGCAATCGATCAAAGATACATAGCTAACATCAGTTGATTTCTTAGACCTATGTACATATGAGAACTTACTCTCAAAACTATCCCCAACTGAAGATAACAGTTCCTTCCAAGCCTCGCTATCAGATGCGTAACCGTTCATCTCCTTCTCAGCCAACGCATCTTCCATAAGTTTTTTTTTGGCTCCTTCACCTGTTCCTTTGCTGTAATCCCGCCTTACACGAAAACTTTTTTCAAGATCTTGGATCTACAGAAATCAGTTAGAAATCAATCAACACATGAATAAATCAATTCCAAAAAACAAGTTAGACAAACTTGTTGCTCCACCGATGAAGAACGTATGTTTGGAAAGCCATTATCAGCAAGGTACTTTGACACTTCATCAGCAATTTTTCCCTTCTTAATGGTTCCACCTTCACCCCTCCACCAGTCTAAACGAAAACCATCGCCACACGGCGTCGTTAGCCATTCAACTATGAGACCAAGAGGACTCTTTCCGTCCTTGTTGAGGTCTGAACGCCACTGTGTTCGAGGATGAACAGGAGGAGTGTGGTTGTTGTTCGATGTCTTGCGGTTGTTATTTGAAGTGTTGACATTTCGCTTATTTCGGGTCCTTTTCTCAGGCTTGGGATCGGAATCAGATGGAGACATTTGATTATCTTGAGTTTCTTGAGTGGCAGGACGGGAATCTTGGACAGACGTGCTTGGTATTGATGTTGGGTAGGGTGTTGGATGCACAGTTCCCCAAACGTGGGTGCCAATAGTTGGCGAGATATGCGGGTGGAAAGCTGGAGAAATGTGTGGGTTGATGGTTGGTGAGATGAAGGTGTAAGGATATCCAGGAGCTGCTGTTGATGGGGCTTGTCCGGTGATTGATGATTCCAAAGGAGACCTGGAAATATGATGGGAAGAGGGCATATTTGCCAATTAAATAGATGCAGTGGACTTGAGGTGGGTTTTGATGCGTTGAAGTGTATAACCGTATCTTATAAATACATAAAGTTTCCAAAATAAGTGTGACATCCAGAAACATTTTGGGGTGTCCAAAGTGTTTCTGGATGTCACACTTGGACACTTTTTGGACCAGTTTCACGAGTTTT